GGCTTCCATTGGGATGAACAATCATTGATAATTTCCCTGCATGACCGCGAGGATTTGTCCTGATGTCTTCTGGCTGTTCCAGCTCGAGCTGCAGAGCCAAACGGAAAGCATGGACTAGTATCATCTAAACGGTGCTTGGAAAGCAAGTTGGAATTTGCAATCCTGAGGCAGAGAGACCTCATCATATCAAAGAGAACTGGAGCTGTACAGAGACGTGTCCCTCAAACCACCACCTCCACCTGGATTGAAAGTGAGGTGGCTACAGCGTTCCTCCACATTGAGGACTTTGTCTCACCACTGCCCTGGCCAGATGGGTGTCTAGTCCAGCTGGGAATCCAGGTGCTGCATGAGGTCCCTGCCTTGGATGCAAAGGCAGGCCACCCTCAGCCTGTCACGTGGTCTCTGTTGCATTCTTTACGTGTCTCTGCAATGCATTTGACCGGCTTGTAATGCATGCTTGTGCTCACTTATTGTACTTTGAGATCTTTCATTGTACATGTGCCTTCAAGCAGCTGGGATTGCAGCAGGTGTTGCATAGTCTGAGGCCCTGCAGTCGCAAGTGGTTGAACCACTGGTATAGCCCCACTTCATTAGCTCCTTGGAGTATCCAACTCCGGTGCGTAGGTGGTTGAAACATCACCACCTTTGCCATGGTTCGTTGGCCCCTGGTGGTAAGGATTCAGCCACTCGACTATCCTTTTTGCTGTCATGTATTGTGTGTGAGCGCGTGCAGGGGGGGTGTCGTGTCAATTCCCCCAGCCTCTCGTTCCACATTTGTAGTCATAGTATTAGCAGAATTTGCAAGTGTTAACTGACGGGGATCATGATATGAACGCTTCTGCTGTGCCCTTTTTTTTTGCATTGTTGACCCAGAAGGAAGAGTACAGGTTTCAGGGAACAAATGTCTGGTTTGTTTGTTTTATTACGGTTACCAGCTGGTGGGTGGACCAGAGGCCACTAATTGTGTTAAAAAGTTTCCCTTAATTACTACTATTAACCCACTTTACAAATTCAATGTAAAATACAATCCCTGGCATTGCCTTTCTTACAATGTAATATTTTATCCACTTCCATTTGCACAACATCTGCGTGCGTGGTTTGTATCTTCATGCCCCAGAGCAGTTTACTTTACAGTAGTGTACATTGATCCTATGAAATATGAACTTTCATTTCTACCCAGGAGAACTTCTACAATCTTGTCTCCGATGCCTGATGAAGGGTGTTTGTGCTCGAAAGCTTGCAATTAAAGAATTTTTTTTGCAAAAATCTTGTTGGCCTAATAAAAGATATCATCTCTGCTACGAGTCCTGGTTGTCTTTTAATATACGCTGAGGCTCTTTGTCAGGGATGGCCTTCTTGTTTGGGCTCTCGTGTAGGGTTCGCCACAACCAGGTGATGCCGCATGGGTCGAATTCGGCAGGTACCTCAGTAACACAACTAGCAGCACCTGAGACATCCGGGCGCTGGGGAGCCGCGGTAATTGGTTCCATCTGAAGATTGCAGAGACCAGAAGGAAGCACGATTGTTTCCTCCCATCTAAAGCCCAGGGGCTTGAGGAGCACTGTGACTCCCTGCTCCAATGCAGGGGCCTTGCAGCCTTGGTGGCCGTCACCAGAGACCTGTGAAACCTTGCGCCTAGATCCTAGCTGGCTTCCAAGCCCTTCGGGAGGCTGCGGCCTGCTCGGCATTGAGCTCTGTGGCTGTGTCTGCGCCTCTCCAGGGAGCAGCGTTTAAACCCAGCATCTTATTTAAGTGTGGAGAGGAAGCCGTGGGAGCCCGGCTGGGCCCGCGGCAGCGACGACCTTGCTGCCGCCCCTCTGGTGCGTGGGTCTGACCCGTGTGTCGAGGAGGTTGTGGGTAGCATGCTCCTGCATTACGAGCAGGAAATCTCCTGGGCCCAGGCACTCGCTGCGCAAATTACCCAGGGAAAATGGGCAGAAAATCTTCAGATTAACAATAACAAATAAAAATGGATTTGAGATCTCAGAGGTAATTACTCCGTGCTGAGGGCAAGGTGCCTCTTTAGCAGTCTGAGCAGCGCCTCGCTGGGGAGCACGGGGGCTCGTCCTGTGGCTGAGCCAATGAAGTCACACGAGAAGCCCTGGAAATTCTTTCAAATTGTTCTGCTAACATTAATAAATGCCTCAAAAGCTCCTAATCTGCTCTGTCAGGAGCATGACGTCCGGGCGTTTCACAGCCAGCTCACGTCCCTGCTCCTTGTCTCCCACACTCCTTTCCTGATTTGTAATAGTAAGTGAAAGTGGCACCCGTTCCTCCAGCTGCCCGGGCTGGCACTGTGGCGAGCCCAGGCCCTCGCTGGGGGAGGGCGCCCCGCTGGCTAGTGTCCCGGACCAGAGCCCGGCAGGGACACGGATCATTATTAGTGGCAATAGGATTTATTATTTGTGTTCCAGTGCTTAGCGGCCCAGCCAAGACTGGGCCCCCCGCGGTAGACGACGCTGCACACACACAAGGTAAGGTCTGTTCCACATGCCGCTCTCGTACCACTGGGGTTTTTTGGCGTGGAGGGTGGGGCTTCCCCCCCACTAAAATAAGTCAATGAGAGCTGCCCTTTATAACAGCACGACAGCGGTCACATTGAGGTGCCTTGGGGGAGCGGCCTATTACCTAGCCAGAGCTGCAATTTGGAGGCATAGCTATTTATTTTGAGGGTTATGCAGAGCCTGTGAGCGCAGGGATGGGACTATGTGACCCACGTGGCACCTCCATCTCCTGTGTCCCCCGAGTTCGATCTGTAAAGCAAAGGCAGAGGTCACAAAGAAGGTTTCTGGGGACCGCGAGGGGAGGAGGACGGGTCTGATAGACGGGGTAAAGGAAGGGCAGCCCGACCCACACCCGCGGAGACATTCCCAGACCCACGGGCTTTGTGCATCCCCAAAGCATGGAGGGGATATGGAGCACGTGCAGGGGGATGTTGAAGGCATGCCCTTGGGGCCTCGTCTCTTTTTCCACGAGCTCTGCCACTCAGGCTGGAGCTATGCGCTGCGATGCCTCCTGACAGCGGCTTTGGGGTCCACACGTTAAACCGAAATGCCAAAGTGAGGGTGAACAGCTCAGCTCAGCTGAGCCACAGAAAAGCCAGTGTTTTATTGATGGAGGAGCGGGCAAAGGTGCTGTGCTGGTGGGACTGGCTTGGAGGGAGAGGGCCCACTCCACCATCCCTCTTGTCCCGACTCCCCTCCCGGTCCCTCCCTCGGACAGGGGGTGCAATGGGAGCAAGCTGCGACCTGCCCTTGCGGCTCCTGGTCTGTAGCGGGTTGCAGAGCATGGCACAGGAGCAAGGGTGCAGCCCAGCATCACCTGCTGCCCAGCCCAGGGGTAAAGGAGCAGCCCCTTCCCACCAGACCATCTCCCTCCTCAGTGCAGAGCTCTGTACAGGGCTGAATTGGGTCCTACATGTTCCAGGACCTGGGGCAGGGAGAGAGCCAGGGCAGAGCAGTCGGGAATTAGTCGCACACACTTTCCCCCGCCGGGCACAGCGCCCCCAGAGTCCTGCGCTACTGGCTTCCCTCCTATTTCTACCACGCAGCCAGCACTCATCTCTGTTCTCGGCCCCAGGGAGCTGGGGGTGAAAGGCAGGGGAGAGGAGCCTGGGGTATTTGTGCCCATGTGCCTACATCCCTAGATGTCTGCCTGAGGTCCCTGCCAGCCCCGCTTTTCTATGATTCAGTGCACTCTCATCGGGGCATGCGGCACGTGACGCAGCTCCTCTCACCCTTGCTGGCACAACTGCTGGCAGGTCTGGGTGGGGGTCTCTGTTTTTAGATCTTGCTGTGGGCAGAGCTGGGAGAAACATGGGTAGCTACGGGCGCCCCATGCTAGCGCCCTGTGCTTAGGACTGCCAAACGGCCATTGGGTCAAATTTCCATGCCAGCCTCTCTTGCTGACTTTTTTTTTTTTTAATTTTGACCAAAACAATTGGATCCTGTCTGAGAATGAGAATAAGGAAAAAAAATATCCTGGCTTCCCAGTGTTTTAAAAAGCCATTCTCACAACAGCTTCCCTGAGGAGCTCCACAACTTCTAGCCTTCAGCATCAGAACTTGATATTTGCTTCTCTCTTTTTGTCTCCCTGAAAAAAACCCAGCCAAGGTTGGCCAATGCACAGGCAACCTTACGTGTGCTACTCCCTTGACTTTGCAATCCCCGTGCTGTTTGAACGTAGGTTTTTATGTGGGGTCGCGGTGGTACTGTTGCCCCCAGAATGGATGTACGTCTTTGGTGAGACTTTCTCTTCTTGTGGCTACCTTCTGCTTGCTCCTCTTCAGTCCATCTCCAGCCTTCTCTCTCCAAGTTTGCACCCACTGGAGAAGGATTGTGTGTGCTGTGCATGTCGTGGTGGGGTCCTGATCTAGCCAAGGCCTGTTGGGCACTGAACGCAAGGCAATTCTGCCAACAGCAGTGCTCCTGCTAAATCACAAGCACGGTTGACTCTTTACAGGCACAGAATGAGGAGGCTGAAGAGCCCACGGTGTAGGTAGAGCACGCTGAAGTGCAAGAAGAGGGAGAGAAGACACCCATACACTGCAACATGCATTCATTCCTATTTTAAACATGCTGCCTCTTCTCACAGACATACTGTGGTATTTGCAAAAGGTCACCTCTTGGTGTGTAGGGAAAAGGTGATCAGTAGAGGTGTGTGTGACTTGGGGGTAGGAGCACGCTGCCTTGCTGCACATGTAGGTGTGCACACCTTGCACACAGCTTAATGGTACAGGTGAGTGCTGCTGGGGGGGACGAGGGGGTGTTCGCACAGTTGCAAAGTGTCGGTTGGTGTACTGCGGAGGTACGAGCCTGGTTTAGGTGTCCTGAAGAGCATGGAGGAAGGGTTGTGAGGATGCTCTTTTATGCTGGATGTAAGCATGCTGTTTGCAGAAAGCCTCACAGCATAGCTTGGACTGTGCTTTCTTCCTGACTGTTTGTAAAAGGGGAGCAATTTTTTAATGTGATTTTTTTTTTTTCCCCCCCTTTATTTTTCAGTGAACTTGTTAGATACATCGACGATCCCTGGAGACTGGGGCTGGCTCACATATCCTGCGCACGGGGTAAGTATGAAGCTCTTACCCAGCACGGTGAACAGAACAGATCCTGGGGTGTACAGTGCGCATGGCCTTGGCTCATGATAGGTGAGCTGGGTGTACCCAGAGGGGACATCCCCGTGTCTGCTTCCTGACAAAATTAGCCGGCAAGTGACCTTGGCAGAGTTTGCTTGCTCCTGCTATAGCACAATGCCATTTCCCTGGGATTTCTCATGTAGGCTGCAGGTGGGCTGGGCAGCAGTAATGCATGGTGGCGATCCCTCCTCAGCCCTCTTTGAGCTGTGCTGTGCCAAGCTGCAAGTTGGTGTCATCTTTGACGGTCATCTAAACTCTTGTGTGAATTAGGCTGCTTCTGTCACCACAACTGCTGGCCACAGACAACAAATGCCATGGGGAAGCTGTCCATCCGAGCATACTCACTTCTGCTGCTCTGCGTCTCCAGCGAGCAGCTCTGTTGGCAGGGTTGGAAGTGACCCCAGGGGGACACTAGCTGCGGGAGGGACTGTAGCAGCCAGCAGAAGGCATGGCCATGCCTACCTGCACATACTGGATGCTGGGAAGTGGCAGAAATCCTTTGCTGGGAGAGGTGGTGCTGGTCCGCTGGCAGCATTTAAGTAGCATGAGCTAGAGCTCAGGCAGCCGGCAGGCTGGAGCTACTCCCAGGATCTCATCAGCTCCAGGATGCCATTGTTTGTCTGTGCTAATACAGCTGCAGAGATGTTTATCTGCCAGAAAACTGTTAGTCCTAAAAGGTAACCACATACCAACAGCACAGCTCTCTGATATACCTTGAGGGATTATAGCCTCCCTGTAAGTTCGGCAGCCATTTATCCATCCATTTCTGCCCGCAGCTGGGAATAGTGTAATCTGCAACCTTTGTGTGTACACACAAATGCACCAAATGTATGTGCAAACACACCTACACCCCTAGCACAAACACATGCCTGTGCACACCTTCACACGCAGAGCAAAAGCCTTCATGCACAAACCCAAACACATGTCCTTTCCCTTCCACATGGACCTGCACTCATTCACTTGCTGCATCTGACACCCCTCCCCGCCCCGCCCCACACGCACACACCCTGCACCCAATGCACAACACACATGCTCACAGCCCCAGCTTCTCATGCTGGCACGCTTACTCTACATGTTCACACAAACCCCACTACCCTCTTACCATTTCCCGCCCATATGCCCAGTGCCCCTCTCCAAGATGCACCTTTGTTATTAGGCTTGGCATGGGCTTGAAACACAAACTGACATCAATTTATCTGCTTGCTGCTCTTTGCTTTCTGTAGCTGGTGGTTTCTCAGCTGTAGCTTGCAGTCTATGTCCTTGCTCTCCAGGCTGCCATGCTACCACAGATGCATCTGGCCAGCTAGCCAGTGCCACGCTGGTCAAAATCAGACTTAAATCCTGGCAACAGGGTTTGGAAAGCTGTGCGCTATCATGAGGCCTTGAGGCTTAATGATACTGGGTGTTTCCTGGTGTATTATACCCCCTTGCAAGCTGAATAGCTTCTCACTCCTTGTTGCACCAAGGTGCGTGCCTCTGGAGGGATGGTGTGGTCTCATCTTAGATGGGCATAACTGGAGTGCTGCCTAGCGTGGAACAAATACTGAGCGAGTTGTGGCCTCTTGTGTAGGGGACAGGGGCAAGCCCAGTCTTGCATTGCAGGTGGCTGGGCTGCAGGGTGGTCGCCCGCAGCCTTGCAGTGGTGTGGGTAGCTACCCAGAACCACCTACCTTTGCCCTTCCTCTGCCTCATCCCCCTGCAAGCATTTGCAGAGCTGAGGCTGGTTCCACAAAGACTCTTGGAGCGAAGCATTTGCAAAAGGTTCATTTGAAATAGAGCCCAGAACCGGACCGTAAGACTTGTCCTTGGACATTTGGGGAGCAGAAACCCTCCCGCAAGCCTTTAGCAACCAGTCCCACGACACAACACAATCTATAGCATAAAGATTACATCTTTTAGGAGTGGGGATGTGGCAGGGCCTCTGCTCGCATGTTGTTTTTTCATGTCTCCTCTTTGTCTCCTCTCCAAACTAAATGGCCCTAATCTTTTCAGCTCCTTCTCGGACAGAAATCTTTCCTGGCCTGTAATCATTTCCATCGATCTGTTGCTGGAGCCTTGCTGTCCCCGCTGTGTCTGTTTGAGACGGAGTGATCAGAGCTGTGAATTCTTTCTAATAAGGGCAAGGAGATTTTATGAAACATTATCCGATCTGTAAAATACTAAACGATTAGCTCAGCAGTAATTGTACCACACAGACACTGCAAGGAGGAGTGTCCTGGAAACCCAGTAGGTTCACAGATGCTCAGGTCGGAAGGGACCACCGCAATCATGTCCTCTGCAGACACCAGGCCACTGGACCTCCTTGGGGGAGTTCTTTTTTGAACTAGCAAAATATCCTGTTTTGATCTAGCAAATTGCCAGGAACAGAGAACCTCCCCTACCTTGTGGCAAGATGTTTGAATAACTCTCACTATTAATATTTGCTGTTGTTTTATACCTTGAATTTACCTCACTTCAGTTTCCAGCCGCTGGATCTTGTTAGGCCTTTGTGTGCTATACCAGAGTGCCCGTTACCACAGTTTTGCTCCATGTATAGGAACATGGAGACTGGTAACAGGTCATCCTTCCCCTTCCCCTAAGGATGTTAAATAGACAGAGCTTGGAATATGTCACTATGAAGCACGATGGATCTTCTCCAACCCACCTTTGCCACAATGTTCCCCACTACATTCCCTGGTGCTTTATCCAGGTGAAGCTTATAAGGGTCAGATCTACACTGGCAAAGTCTATGCTAAAACGAGACTTGGAATAACCACTTATATCATAAAAATGACTGAGACCCCCTGGTCCAGCAGCCACAAAAC